AAACAGCAGGCGCTCCTGCTGCACTTCCCGCCGACTCTGCCCTCGAGGCTGGTGCAGCGACTCCAGGAGGTCGGTGGAGCCCAGGGAGCAGCGTGGCTCAGGGCAGGGTTGGGGGTGTGACCTCATTCTGGCCGTTTCCCTGCCCCTCCCCATGGAGCCCTGGTAACCCCCGGCAGGATGGGGCATACCATCGGGCCCTCCAGCAGCCCTCCTCCCCCAGGTCTCCCTGCGGCAGGGCATGAGGACTGACCCGGGGGTGCTGGCGGCCCTCTGTGAGAAAACTGACAATGACATCCGGGCCTGCATCAACACCCTGCAGGTGGGGGCCGGCAGGCATCAGGTGGGGTGGGGTGGGGTCAGGAGTCAGCCGCCTCTCATGCCCCCGCCCTGTGTCCAGTTCCTGTACAGTCGGGGCCAGCGGGAGCTGAGCGTGCGAGACGTGCAGGCCACACGCGTGGGCCTCAAGGACCAGCGCAGAGGGCTCTTCTCGGTGTGGCAGGAGGTCTTCCAGCTGCCTCGAGCCCAGAGGTAGGCGGCGGCCACAGCCTTGGCCTGGACGCCCACGGTGCCCAGACCCCAGGACGCTGGCCATGCGTGCAGGCCAGCACGATCCTTGAGGTGGGAACTCATTGTCCTGAGCCCGTGGCTGCCTGGTCCGGCCTCCAGGGCCCTCCTCAGCCTTTTCCTGGCTTTTTCTCGCCACTGCAGCCTTGGTGGGTCAGCCAGGGAAACCTCCAGGGCCCCCTGTGGGAAGGACACCCCTGATGTGGTGGGGCCTCCAGGGTGTCCATGTCCAGGGCGCCCTTTGACCTAGGCCCTGCCCCAGTTGCACCCACATTTTTGCCACGTTTGGCCTGGGCTGTGGTCTCTGAGCTCCTGCCTCTCCATACCACGAGGCCTCCTGCAGGCAGGAGCAGCCAGCGTGTCTCCGTCCTGACCTGGCATGGGACCCCAGGGGATGCTGGCCTGGTCGTGCCGCAGGACATGGGAGACGCCGGCCTGGGCCTGTGAGATGTGCTGCTCCTGGCCTGGACCCTGGGGGGTGACTTTCCCTGGGGTTCCCTAGCCCCAGAGGGTCAGGGCAGGGCTCCTCCCAGAGTGGGGCTAGCCCCAGAGGGTCAGGGCAGGGCTCCTCCCAGAGTGGGGCTCCTCCTCGGCTCGAGGGAATTTTTCAGGGAGTTCAGGTCGGGCATGTCTTTGGCTGTCTTTCTGCTGAGAAGAACGAAGTGGGTGGCGGCTCTGATGGGGCCTTTGAGTTTCCCTGGGAGACAGTGCGGCTACCTCTGCTCTTACACGGGCCCATCCAGCTTCAGCATCCCATCTGCAGGCGCCGTGTGGGCCAGGACCCCACCCTGCCTGCTGACACGCTCCTGCTGGGTGACGGGGATGCGGGCTCCCTGACCTCCGCCTCGCAGCGATTCTACCGTGTCCTGCATGCTGCCGCCTCCGCGGGCGAGCACGAGAAGGTGGTCCAGGTACCTGTCCTCCCCCAAAATCCCTGCCCGGGGGCTGCTTGTTCAGGACCTGGGCTGTGCCCCTGCCCCTGCCGACCCTCCCGTGTGGACGGGGAGGTGCTTTGTGGGTGCTGAGAGAGCCAGGTTCGGGAGATGGGGTGCCAGGAGGCCTCTGAGGTGGGGAGCAGGAGCTAGGAGGGCGGGAGGGGCTGCAGGGCACGGGCTGGCAGGCAGGGCGGGAGGGGTGGCAGGGCACGGGCTGGCAGGCAGGGCGGGAGGGGCGGCCATCCGACGGGGGAGGTTGCTCTGGTGGCTGCTTGGGACTCAGCGGGTTGGGGTGGAGCCTCTGCCCGATGGCGTGGCCTGGGGCTGTGAGGGGCTGGATTCTGGACTTAGGGTGCACGTGGGGTGGAGAGCAAGGCGGTGAGGGCTTCTTGCCACCCTGCCCCCGGGAGTCCCTGCCTAAGCTGCAGACTGACTCTAAGCAGCTTTGGATTAACAGCTGGGGATCCAGAGTCAATCCCCAAATCCCAAAACTCGCGACGTGGAGGGGCAGCGTGGATAGAGTCCCCCGAGGAACGGGGTAGAGACGCTGGTGGGCGGAGCTTCCTCAGACAGTCTAAGGATGGGCTGAGTGAGGCTGGACCTCTTTGGTTCCTGGAGGCTTCCTGGTGGGCAGTTCACCCCCTTGTCTCAGTCTCTGTCAAGCTGGAGTGAGGATGCTCAGGGTGGACCTTCCTCCAACCCCCAGACCCCATGGCCGCTTGCTGGTGTGTGCTGCTGCCCGACGCCCAGTCTTGTGGGGACCCTTGTGGGGCAGGCGGCATGCCGGGCAGGAGGTGGAGGGTCCGCGGGCCGGAGGTGGAGGGTTTGTGGTGGTGCACTTTTCCTGGGATGGGCAGGGGCGTGAGGGGCAGGAGCTCAGGGGTTGCTGGCTGCCTGCAGGGCCTGTTTGACAACTTCCTGCGCCTGCGGCTTCGAGACTCCAGCCTGGGCGCCGTGTGTGCGGCCCTCGACTGGCTGGCCTTCGACGACCTGCTGGCGGGGGCTGCTCACCACAGCCAGAGCTTCCAGCTGCTGCGCTACCCACCGTTCCTTCCCGTGGCCTTCCACGTGCTATTTGCTTCCAGCCACACACCTAGGATCACCTTCCCCAGCAGCCAGCAGGAGGTGTGCTCGCCTCTGCGCCACTGCTGCCCACCCCCGTGCTGCCCGTGTGGCTGCCCCCGGCCCCACCCACCATTCCCGCACCCACCGTTCCCCCACCCACCGTTCCCCCACCCACCGTTCCCCCACTTGGCCTGGGAGGCCCCGGTGACCAGGCCTTGGTTCGCCCCCTGCCCCAGGCCCAGAACCGGATGAGCCAGATGAGGAACCTGATCCAGACGCTGGTGTCCGGCATCGCACCAGCTGCGCGCAGCCGGGCCACGCCCCAGGCCTTGCTCCTGGACACCCTCTGCCTGCTCCTGGACATTCTTGCGCCCAAGCTCCGCCCCGTGAGTGCCGTCCCCAGGGTGGGGGACTCCCCGCCTGCTGTCCTCCCGTCCCATGTAAGCACACAGCTGTACAGCCTGCTCAGCCCCCGCCTGCTGCCCCCGGCCCCCAGGTGAGCACACAGCTGTACAGCACCCGTGAGAAGCAACAGCTGGCCAGCCTGGTGGGCACGATGCTCGCTTACAGCCTGACCTACCACCAGGAGCGCACGCCCGACGGGCAGTATATCTACAGGCTGGAGCCGTGAGTCCCCCAGTGCCTGGGGCGGGGGCCTGGAGGTGCTCCAGGTGCCAGGGCCCGCATAGGGCCGGGAGTCTGAAAGCCCAGTCATGGTGTCTGGGGTGTCGGGCCCCAGTGTATCCCTCACTACGATGTGACTGTGAAGGGGGGTCACCCCCAGTCACCTGAGATTGGCCTTGGGACCTGAGTTTTGCTGCAGAGCTGCTCCCAACCTTAGTGCCCCCACATGGAGCTGGAGCTGGGGCGCCCCGAGAGGGACTGCGCTTTCTGATGCTGTTTCCCGCTGTGGGATGGCCACGGGGGTGGCGGGTGTGAGGCACGGGGCAGTAGCTCCAGGGTCCTGCTGCCCCAGCAACAGCACCAATGTGCAGGACACTAAGTCGCTGTCGTGGCAGCCCCCGGCAGGTTTCATCATCCCACGTGTACTTGCAGTTGGGGAAACTGAGGCTCGGGGCAGTTAAACTCGGCTGCTGTGGGGTTGGGGTGCGGCGGCACCAGGACTCACCCTACATTCTCGCTCTGGCGTTGTGACTTTTGGGGTTTGCGGTTGGAGCGCCTGGCGGGTCTCTGGTCCTGGGCCTGGCCCCACTGACCTGCCCTGGTGCCCCCGGCGCTGAGCAGGAACGTGGAGGAACTCTGCCGCTTCCCCGAGCTGCCTGCCCGCAAGCCCCTGACCTACCAGGCCAAGCAGCTCATCGCCCGCGAGATCGAGGTGGAGAAGATGCGGCGGGCGGAGGCTTTGGCCCAGGCAGAGAACAGCCCCCAGGTGAGCCCACCCAGGCTCTGGAGCAGGCTGGGGCCTGGGCGTGGACCATCCCCACTATAGCTCTGTATGACCAGACTTCACAGTCCTGCTCCCTGCAGGTGGACGGGAGTTCCCCAGGGCTCGAGGGTCTGCTGGGGGGCAGTGGGGAGAAAGGGGTGTGCCGACCTGCCCCACGCAACCACGAGCAGCGGCTGGAGCACATCATGAGGCGAGCGGTCCGGGAGGAACAGGTGTGGAATGGGCAGCCACGGGGGCGGGACCAGGGTGCCTTTGGGGGTGGGGCTGGGGCAGTCATGAGGCAGGGCCAAGTATCTTCAGGGGCAGGGCCAGGGTATCTTCAGGGGTGGGGCCAGGGTGTCTTTGCGGTTGGGGCTGAGCCACAGGAGTCGTCTGGCTGAGGGTGGGGCTCTGAAGGACCAGCTCCCTACACTCAGCATGACCAGGGTTCTACTCGGGCCTCAGTTTCCCGTCTGGGCAGAAGAGTGGCTATATTGGCTCTTCTTGGTTGGCACCTGGTGGGGAGCAGATGGCAGTGAGGGGTGAGGGGCAGCTGGCCTGGGCCAGGTTTGGAAAAGGTGGCTCAGAGGGGCTCCAGCCCCTCCTCCCTGGAGAGGCTCTTGGTCCTCCTGTCTTGGGCAGGGGCTGGACGGGGCGTCTGTCCTACAGGGCTGACTAGTCCCTCCTCCCCATCAGCCTGAGAGGGACTTCTTTGGACGTGTGGTTGTCAGGAGCACAGCAGCCCGGAGTGCAGGTGTGTGTGGGGCGTGTTGTGGGGTTGTGGGGGGCCTGGGGTGCTGGGGTCCAGCTGAGGAGCAACCCTGTGGCCCCGCAGGGGACACGGCCCCGGAGCAGGACTCAGTGGAGCGGCGCATGGGCACGGCGGTGGGCAGGAGCGAGGTCTGGTTCCGCTTCAACGAGGGTGTCTCCAATGCTGTGCGGCGCAGCCTGTACATCAGGGACTTGCTCTAGGTCTCTCTGACCCGCGGACACGCCCCCGCATTGCTTCCCCGAGAGTGTGCAGAGGGACGGAAACCTGATGTCTTTATAAAGTCACGCCTTTACAGACTGCAGTCGGGCTCACAGGATGGTGCGAGTGGGGCCAGGAGAGGGGCTCACAGGATAGAGTGAGTGGGGCTGGGTGCCGTCTCACAGGATGGAGTGAGTAGGGCCACGTGTGGGGCTCAGAGGATGGAGTGAGTGGGGCTGGGAGTGGGGCTAACAGGATAGAGTGAGTGGGGCCAGGCGTGGTCTCACAGGATGGCGTGAGTGGGGCCGGGAGTGGGACTCAGGATGGTGGGAGTGGGGCCGGGAGTGGGGCTCAAAGGATAGAGTGAGTGGGTCCGGGAGTGGGGCTCACAGGATAGAGTGAGTGGGGCCGGGAGTGGGGCTCACAGGATAGAGTGAGTGGGGCCGGGAGTGGGACTCACAGGATGGAGTGAGTGGGGCCGGGAGTGGGGCTCACAGGATAGAGTGAGTGGGGCCGGGAGTGGGGCTCACAGGATGGAGTGAGTGGGGCCGGGAGAGGGGCTCACAGGATGGAGTGAGTGGGGCCGGGAGTGGGGCTCACAGGATAGAGTGAGTGGGGCCGAGCGTGGTCTCACAGGATAGAGTGAGTGGGGCCGGGCGTGGTCTCACAGGATAGAGTGAGTGGGGCCGGGCGTGGTCTCACAGGATGGAGTGAGTGGGACTGGGAGAGGGGCTCACAGGATGGAGTGAGTGGGGCCGGGAGTGGGGCTCACAGGATGGAGTGAGTGGGGCCGGGAGTGGGGCTCACAGGATGGAGTGAGTGGGGCCGGGAGTGGGGCTCACAGGATGGAGTGAGGGGGGCCGGGAGTGGGGCTCACAGGATGGAGTGAGTGGGGCCGGGAGTGGGGCTCACAGGATGGAGTGAGTGGGGCCGGGAGAGGGGCTCACAGGATGGAGTGAGGGGCCGGGAGTGGGGCTCACAGGATAAGAGTGAGTGGGGCCGGGAGTGGGGCTCACAGGATGGAGTGAGTGGGGCCGGGAGAGGGGCTCACAGGATAGAGTGAGTGGGGCCGGGTGTGGTCTCACAGGATGGAGTGAGTGGGACTGGGAGAGGGGCTCACAGGATGGTACGAGTGGGACTGGGAGAGGGGCTCACAGGATGGTACGAGTGGGACTGGGGGAGGGGCTCACAGGATAGAGTGAGTGGGGCTGGGCGTGGTCTCACAGGACGGCGTGAGTGGGGCCGGGAGAGGGGCTCACAGGACGGCGTGAGTGGGGCCGGGCGTGGGCTCACAGGACGGCGTGAGTGGGGCCGGGTGCGGGGCTCACAGGATGGCGTGAGTGGGGCTGGGCGTGGGCTCACAGGACGGCGTGAGTGGGGCCGGGAGAGGGGCTCACAGGACGGCGTGAGTGGGGCCGGGTGCGGGGCTCACAGGATGGCGTGAGTGGGGCTGGGCGTGGGCTCACAGGACGGCGTGAGTGGGGCCGGGAGAGGGGCTCACAGGATGGTGCATTTGCCCTTTTCCACCCATGGGTTGTTCTTCATCAGGTCGGGGTTCAGGAAGGGGTCTTTGGGGATCCCATCCTCGATCCACTTCAGCAGCCTGCGGGTGGGTGGGTCGTGGGTGAGTGGTGGCACCTGGCCCCCGAGGGCCTCCTGCTGCACCTGCCGTCGGCGGTGGTGGTCATGGCTATGAAAATGAGCGGCCAGCACAGGGCAGACAAATGAGAGGCAAATCAGGCGGGTGGGGCACTCACTCAGGGATGGTCTTGGATGCCATCTCCCGCTGGAAGGCCAGCTGGTACTTGAGGCTCTCCACCTCTTTCTTCATCTGCGGCACGTCCCACTCCTCCATGGCGTCGGGGGCTTCCGAAGCAGCCAGCCTGGGGCTGGAGGGCACAGGAGGAAGCCACAGGGCCGAGGCTGCCAGCCTGTAGTCCCCATCCCCACTGCTCCCTCCCGGCAGGCCTGAGCTGAGCCCCCCAGGATGAAGGGGCGAGAGTCCCCATCACTGCCTGGGCCAGTACCCTGGGCCTTGTTTTCTCCACTCGTGTCTTTCCCAGGTCCACATGCGTTGCTAGGGTTTAGGGCACAGGGCAAGTTCCCATGAGGCCCCAGCTCCCGCCTCCCCCAGTGGGACTAATTAACTGCAAGACGTTCTTAGCTACTTCCCCACACCCCCCCAACACCTTAAGAAGGTCCCTTGCAGACAGCAGAATGGGTGCTCAGCACGGCAGGCCCCCAGCTCCCACCCTCCCACTGAGGCCCATGCAGGCCGACTCAGACCACGTTGTGAGGCGTGGGGTGAGGTCCTCAGGAGGTGGCCCCTGCCCCGCCCCGCGGCATGCCCCTCTGCTTTGCATGGGCAGAGCGCAGTCCAGAGCCAGGACTGCTGGACGGGAACATTTTGCTGCAGTTTGCATCTCCGGCAGGTGGGGTGTGTGCTCAGGATCTCGGGGGCTCAGGCTACACGACCTGAGTGTAGGACACGGGCTGTTGGTGGCCCCTGGGTCCCCAGTGTGTGTGGCAACCACACACATCACCGGCATGCTTTCTGCTTGTGGCCAGCCTGGGAATGCCACAGGTTGACACCTCAGAACTGCCACAAGTTCGAGGCAAGTAGGGGTGGGATGCCCCCTGCCTCTCCCCCTGCCCACTCCAGGGGCCCAGGGAGTCCCTTACTCTGTCCCAACCCTGGCCCCAATCCCCAAGGTTGGGAGACAGGGCTGAACCTTGGGAGGTTGGGTTGGGGGTTGGCGTCGAGTTTGGAGGAGGCTGCCTCTGGCTGTGAAGGGGGCTCCTGGCCCAACAGTCTCCCTATCCCTTTGGTCTCGCAGCTGCTCCCCAGCGAGGGAGGGGCCCAGGGCTTGGGGCTGGTGGGATCCCGGTTGGTGAAGTGGGCAGACTCCCAGCAGCCGGCAGACCCGGGGTGGGAGCTTGGGGAACAAGTGGGGGCGAGTTTCTGGGGGAATGATCAGGGTCGTGCAGAGGGAGGATTCCCTCCTGGAGATCCTCGAGTTCCAGCACCCAACCTGCCCCCTTCCCCAGTGCGGGTCTTTCCTCGGAGACCCTACACTCAGCCATGTGGGCGCGGGACCAGCTGCGTGCAGGTCCTCCCAGGCCTGGGGTGTTGGTGCCCCGCCCACAGCCTGGTCCTCACCGCCCAGCCCTACCTTCGCGCAGCTGCCGCCGAGCCCAGCCACCTGCCCCACGCACCCTGTGGACGCCCCCAGCCGCAGGACTCGGTGGGCACTGCAGGCGGCGCACGGCGCTCAGATGGACACAGCTCCCCCGCACCGCGTGAGCCGCCTCCCTGCCTGCAGCACCGGCTCGGGTTGGGTCTCGCTGTCCGTGGGGCAGCCGCCCTCGCCCCGGGAGTTAGGTGAGCCCAGGGGACTGACCTGGGCCAGCCAAGAGCCGCGGAGCCTCAAGGCCCTCCCTAGCCCCAGGGGCCTGTTCGTCGGACCTACCTTGAAAGGTGACAGTGGAGGGACAATGATGACAAAAGCCAGGCGACCGCGAGTGACAGCGAGGGCCAAGTGATGTGCCGGGAGTCCGCCAGGCAGAGCCCTGGCTGCGCCCCGCCCCTCCCACCACCTGGGCCCTGGCGCCACCCCCACCCCCTCCTCAGGGCTGGGCTGACCCCAGAGACAGCCTGTGCTGCCCGGGGCTCGCCCAGCGGGTGGACACGCAGCCAGGGGCCAGAGTGGGGCTGGTCCAGTTTCCCTGAGGGACCAGCTTGGGCCTGGTGGAGAGGTCTCCTTCCACTTGGGGGGGTGGATTCCTCAGCTTCATACCAGGGGCCTTCCCCCTCCAGTGCCCTGGGCCAGTCCGGAGGAGTGGGGATGGGACTAGGACCCTTTACCCTCTGGGGCCTCTGCAGCCTGCAGGGATCAGGTGACCCTCAGCTGTGCCCCTGACAGGCGTCCTGTGTGGGCCATGTGGCTCACCCTGGGATGTGAGCCTTTTCCTGCTAGGTGCCCCGGGTCTCCGTGGAGCTCCCTGCTCCGCCCGATCCCCCCTTCCCAGACCAGCGGCCAGCTCCGGAGGGCAGGAGGGTGCCGTGCTCTTCAGTCTGATCTGAGCTGAGAGTGGCGGCCTGAGGCGTCTCCAACACCAGCCCACTGTGGGTGCTGTGGGGCGCGCTGCCTCGGGAGAGGTGCATCCAGCTGCAGCACTTGGCAGGGATTGTGTGGCCTCGAGGCTCTGGGGAGGGGGCTTCCCTTTGCGGTTCCGCATCTGTCAGCCTGCAGAGCTGAGACTGGCCCCTTTTCCTCTGACACATTTCTCTGTGTCTTGGGTGCACCCCTTGGGCTCCTGTGGGAGCTGCGCCGTGTACCAGCAGGTGACGCACACACCAGGTTGCATCCTAGGTGGGGGCCCCCAGGCAGCAACAGCAGCCTCTGGGGGCACAGGGCCAAGCTCCCCAAACTCAGTCCTTGCAGAGGCTGGGCCACCCCCGGGGAAGCCTGGGCCAGGGCCAGGGGCCTGTGAGCAGGTCCTGCCTTCCCCAGTGTCACAAGGAACTGCCCAGCCTGCCTGGGGTGGCCCAGAGCCCTGCAGGGGTGGTTGGGGGGAGGTGGGCCTGTCCCTCGCGGGCGCCCAGGCCCCTGAAACCACTCAGCAGGCCTCCTCGCTGCTGTGACTGTGAATCGGGGCCACCTGCACCTCCCGCCCTGATGTGGGTTGGCGGGATCAGAGGCGCCTCCGGAACTGGGGCACATTAGGGAAGGGATTATTTTTATTACGGATTTGGGGGTGGGGTGGGGCAGCTTAAAGCCCAGGGCACCAGGCCTCCTCCTCAGGGCAGATGGCTGCTCCTCTTGGCACGGTGGGGGCTAGACGAGTTCCCCCTGGCCCTGGTGCCTGCCCTGCCTGTGCCCTTGGGTGCTGTGACTCCGGATGCACCTTAGTATCTGGGCTGCTGGGGGCTGTCCCTATGGCTGGGGGCACCACTCCACCTGGCGTCAGAGGGTGGCATGACTGTTGGGGGAAGGGCATGTGCTGCCCCAGGGTGCAGGCAAGGTGGGGGAACCCCAGGACATGTCCCTGCATTCACTGGGACAGCAGGTGGCTTGGAGCCACGGCCAGGGTGGGGACACCCTGAGCTCTGAGTTGTGAGAGCTGGGGCTTCTGTGGCCACTCTCAGGACCCCAAACGGCCTTTGCATCTGCTCATCTGGAAGGACCTAGGGGGTCTCCTAATGGGGTCGCCAAGGCTCCAGGTTCTGGCTTTTGGGCAATTCACTGGACCCAGTAAAGGTCACCGAGGGTGCCTGAGGTATGTCCAGCACTGCCAGCGCCCCCAGCAAATCAGGACACGGGTTGGAGTGCGGTGTGGGCCACCAGGACAGCCGACACAGGCCGTGGCACCACGTCCTGGAGTGAGCACCGCCTTGTGGTCCAGGCACATCCTGCCGGTCCTCAGCGTCTCAGGGGAGAAGCGGCTGTGTGTACCTGCACGGTGGACCTGGCCCGCCTACCTGCCCAAGGTTGAGGGCAGGAGGAGGTTGAGGGAAGTGGGGGCAGGGCCAGGGTGAGCCGAGGGCCTTGGGTCTGCTCCAGGCCCATGTCCCAGGCGTGTGGTAGGTCCTGTTTCTCACCCCACTTCTGTGGTGGTTCAGGTCTCTGGGGGTGGGGGGCACCAGTCATCCCACCCGTGTCGTGTGGACCCCCAGAATCCGAAGCAGGTCCTGTGCTGACCTGGGCGGGTGCAGTAACCTCCACTCCCGTGTGAGGGGCTGTGAGACGCCATCCTCAGTAAGACGGGGGTCTCGAAGACTGACTTCTACTTTCCTACCAATTTTTCCTACCAAAGTTGGACACCCCCAAACACATCCAGGCCCTGACCCCTCGAGCTGGAGTCAGCCTCGGGGTCTAGAACCTCCCTCCCCCGGCCCCACAGCTGGACCTGGCTTCAGTGATTCTTGCTGGGAAGAACGGCAGCCATTTCCCCACCTGAGTGACTGCAGCCTCCCGGGAGGCCAGGGGCTCCGTTCTGAAATTAGGCCACTAATTGGGCCGCTGGGTGAGACACGCAGGGCTCTTTCCGCTGGCCTAGAAATGGCTGTCCCTGGCCCGAGGGGCTCCTGCCCCGCCAGACATGGGGCTGTGCAGCTGGGCCTGAGACCCCATCTACAGCCAGCCGAGACCGCGGGGGAAGCACGTGAGGCCGGGGGCGTTCACACTGACCTTAGGGCTTGGTCCCACATTGGCACAGGGGTCTCTGACCCCCTCCTAGCGGGAAGCTGCGGCCGCAAGGTCTACCGGGACTGGCCTCTGCCTGTGGCCTCAACTCCAAGTGGGTGAGGGAGACAGCTCCCAACACCAGTCAACTCCCCAGGGAACAGAGGAACAAAGTGCTGAGCTGGGGACCCAGGGCTAGCCCCGTCCTCCACCAGCCTGTACCCTAGGCTCTGCAGAGGGCTCTGGCTGTCCTAGCGGGACCCTGTGGTCTGCCGGCCCCAGGCAGCCTGTGCAATGGGTGAATGTGTGTGTGGACACGCTGACTTCGCTCAGTCCCTGCAAACAAAACCGCAAACGTGGGGCCCAGGAAAATAAGGAAGCTCCTCTGAACCAAAGGAAGCTCACGGCAATGACTTATGTCCTCTGTGAAAGTTTTAAAGTGATTTTCCAAAACAATTTAAGCTCTTAAACACAAGCACAGAAAACTTCAAGGGAATCCCGGGTGCATGGTTGTCATCCACACCTGACCTCCATTGTGTAGTCAGGGGCCTGCTAGGGGCCAGGCCGTAGCCACGCTTGCACTGCGGCCTCGGGGTAGCGTGCCTGCCGCAGCTCAGTTTACTCAGAACAGCTGCAGGTCGGTGCGTGGTTACAATTTGCAATTGCCGGAGGATTCCTGCTTCAGAGACGCCGTCTCCTGAAAACCCAGGTATCTCTTTGCTAACCAGAAGTTTGGCCCGAGGCAGAAGGCCCTGGGAGCACAGAAGCAGGCTGAGCAGTGGATCCCCACGGCCTCGGACGCCCTAGCTCCTGGCCGGAGGACTGGAGGTCAGTGTGTCCCCGGAAACAATGCCAGCTGGGCTCCTGGGGATGGGGTGCTGCCCCCACTCCGAGCTTGAATGTGTTTAAGGGGAACCGATGGGCAAAATAACAGCCTGCTGGGCTCAGAGGCCCCCACCGCCGGCTACACCAAATTACTCTCTTTCAAGGGCGCCAGCTCAAAGACGTTGCAGATATTCCAAAATAGACACACATTTGCTCAGCTGAGGGTGGTGGGAGGCCTTGAGGCGAGACCTTTCCAAGGTCTGTGGGGGAAGAGGAGGGAGAGAGAGTCGCGCCTTCTGCCCCAGGCCACCTCCGGTATCGTGGTCCCTGGGGCAGCTTTCCTAGGAGCCCGTAATCCGCAGGGTGGTGGCCAGAGTCGTGTAGCAGGCTGACAGGGCCTCTGGCTTTGGGAGAGTCCCCACCCACACCGACAGACACTTGCTTTGGGATGACTAGACTGGGTGCAGTGGCTCACACCTGTCGTCCCAGCACTTTGGGAGGCTGAGGCTGGAGGATCCCTTGAGCCTGGAAGGTGGAGGCTGTAGTGAGCTATGATCATGCCACAGCGCACAACAGGGAGACCTTGTCTCAAAAAAAAAAAAAAAAAAAAAAGGATGACAGAGGTCCAGTGATTTTGCCCAAGGAAAATTAGAAGTTAAGATGGTGTGTTTTGGCCTCTGTCCGTCCCCACACATTCCGGGCTCCCTGGCCACCACTGTGAGTGCGTCAGGGCCCAAGGACCTTCCTGCACCACGACCCACAGGACGTCCTGTGAGTCCAGGTTGGCCTCTAAGAGCCTGGATGGGTCACGCCGCAGCCCATCGGGGATCCTGGGACCCCCAGTGCAGGGGGTGGTGCCGCTGCTGCTTCCAGGCCTGGGGAAACCACGTAGACGGGACCATCTTCCAAATCGGATTGGCAAGTGGGTTTGGCAGAGCCCAGTGAGACACTAGGATGGCCCAAACTGACCAGAAGGCCCCGTGCAGAGGCGGCTGCTGGGGACAGCCAGGTCACCCCAACACGGGTGGAGCTCCTGCATGCCCCACTTCCCACCCCATGGGTCACAGGCCTCGAATGCGCATCCTGCCATGTGGAGACCAGACCACAGGTGGCCAAGCCCTATCTCGGGAAACGGGCCTGGGGCCCTGGGCGGCCGGCACTCACTTCCTGGCTATCTCTACCACCACGTGGGGCAGAAAGATGCCGGCCTGGATTTCTGAGCTCCTCAACAGCTCGGGAACAGCGCAGTCACTTGCCAAAGCAGTGTGCGAGGCACAGACTATTCTAGGGCCTGGCCTGCGCCCACAGGGCACTCCTACCACACGGGCTCCTTCTCACAAGGCGACACCGTCCACCCCCAATCGCTGGGGCCCAAAGCAGCCCCAGAACAGACACATGCACCCCAAAAAGGGGGTCAGTGGGGTAGACGCACCCATCTGGGGACCCTGTGTGTCATCCCAAGTGGGCCGTAGCCCTGGGCATCTGGTCTTAGGTCCCAGGGCTTTGCTAGCAGAAGCCTCCAGGTGTGCAGGGTCTGTGCTGGAGGCCTCCCACCGGCCACCATGGATTCTCCACCCGTGTGGCAGCACCCAGGTCCCTGCACCGACAGACTTCTCGCACTCAGTGGGCAGCAGAGAGCCCCTGAGCAGCCCAGGTGCGTGCAGATGCACAAGGCTGGCTGGGGCGGGAGAAAGGGAGGGAGGGGGGCTCTGAGGAAGGCGCCTGCGTCCCCACAGATCAATCACTTGATATTTGATGTGACCTGCAAACCTTTTATTTGCAAAATACATAAAGTAGGCGGCAGGAAGTAGCGGCTTACACCTGTAATCCCAGCACTTACGGAGGCCAAGGCGGGAGGATCCCTTGAGCTCAGGAGTTGAAGACCAGCCTGGGCAACACAGTGAGACCCTATCTACAAAAAAATACAAAAATTAGCTGGGTGTGGTGGTGTGCACCTGCGGTCCCAGCTATTGGAGAGAGGCTGAGGTGGAAGGATTGCTTGAGCCTGGGAGGTGGAAGCTGCAGTGAGCTGAGATAGCCACTGCACTCCAGCCTGGGCGGCAGAGCAAGACTGTCTCAAAAAAAGTTGAGGCCGGGCACGGTGGCTCACATATGTAACCCCAGCACTTTGGGACGCCAAAGTGGGCGGATCACCTGAGGTCAGGAGTTTGAGACTCACCTGGCTAACATGGTGGAAACCCGTCTCTACTAAAAATACAAAAATTAGCCAGGGGTGGTGGCCTGCGCCTGTAATCCCAGTTCCTCGGGAGGCTGAGGCAGGAGATGCGCTTGAACCCGGGAGGCGGAGGTTGTAGTGAGCTGAGATGGCGCCACCGCACTCCAGCCTGGGCGACAGAGCGAGACTCCGTCTCGGGGGAGGGGGGGAAGTTTGGAGTCACGCCGCCACCACCCTTTTAAGGACGCCTGGAGCTCCCAGAGCCCCCAGGAGCTCAAAGAGGCAGGAAGGATCCTCCCTACAGCCTCTGGAGGGATCGCGGCCCCCATTACCTTTTCAAAAGGTCTCCTTTCCCCGCGGTGTGACCCTCGAAAGCTAGATGTGCCCAGGAAGCAGCAGCCCAGGCCCTGCACCTTCCCTCCCGCTCCCTCTGGCCGCCGGGCCTCAGCCAGCGCTGCCCCCTGTCCCGCCTGTGCCCTCGCCAGGGCCCCTCGCCGCCGCCCCCTGCCGCCTCCCGATCTGGTCAAACTCCCGGGCACGAGCCTCGCGTGCAGGCGCCGGGCCTGGGCTCCTGTGGCCGTCCCGCCAGCGCCCGTCTTCCGTCCCTGCATTTAGAGAAGGACGATGGCAAAGGCACCCGCCCGCTGACCCCTCTTACAGGTGAGGAAACTGAGGTAAGACGGTCGGGGCTGGCTGCAGGGCGTGTCGGGCCCTCGGGGCAGTCGCCCAGACCACCCGGACGGCCCCGCTCGCAGCCTTCGCCCGCGCCCGCCAACTTTTCAACCGACCGTCGCGTGCCGTTTACTTCCGCCTTGGGAGATCATTTCCGGGTCCCGGCAGGAAGGGGCCGGGCGCGCACGACGTCAGCGCGCGACGCAGCCATCTTGGCTCCTGGCAGCGGCGGCCCAGGCCTCGGTCGTGGGCTGGGCGGCCATGTTGGAGTCGGGCAGGGGTCTCATATCCGGTCACTCTCCACTGGCGATGATCGATTGCACTTGACGGTCGCGACGCTGGTCGAGAGTCGCTCGCATTGCTCGAAGTTTTCTGCAACTCCAGGACCGTAAAATGTCTCGAAGATGGCGAAAGGCGTAGCCCCCTGCAGAATCAGATGATCCAGAAGGATGCCCACTGTCTTTTTGGTCCATTTCAGTTGTAAACCAAGAAATACCCGGGACAGGCCTCGGTGGGCTTCGGAGCGTGTCTCGGCAAGGTCGAGGTCTTTCTCCAGCGATGGTTTTGAGCTTCTGTATTAAAAGGGGGAAAGTGGGCTGTGGGGTATCCTGTTTCTGAGCCCATGGTGGGAAGAGAAAAGGAGTGGGCGGGGGGCGGGGATCGCTGATGATGCGTCCCCAAGATGAGGGGAACGGAGAGTGCGATCTGATCCGGCGTCTGTAGTTACCTGTCCAGGAACACAGGGAGAGGCAGTCCCTTGCCCGGCTCGGTCTTCAGCTTCGTTTTGTCCTTTTGGCAGCCTGAATTGGGGTCCTGAGCTTCTCCTTTCCTTTCACACCGTCCTCCACAGTTTCCCAAATGGGTTGTGGAATGCTTATTCCCCGGCACACCTGTGAGATCCCAGGCAGAAGCCAGTGTACAGAAACGCGTTGCATCAGTAGGGATTCTCGAGAGGCAGACCATTGTATTGGAGAGAGAGAGATCGATAGACGGTTGAGAGTGGGTTTGTTAGGGGAATTGGCCCATGTGGTTAGGGAGGCTGAGAAGTCCCGGGAGGGACGCCGTCTGCAAGCTGGAGACCTGGGATGCTGGCAGCCTGGCTCAGTCCAAGTCAGGAAACGGAAGAACCCGGGGAGCTAAAGGTGTGACTCTCAGGCCAGGGCTGAAGGCTGAGAATCCAAGGAACCGCTGGTGTTAAGTCCTGGAGTTCCAAGGCTGGGGGCCCTGGGGTTCTGATGTCCAAGGGCAGGAGGAGGAGGAGAGAGTCCCAGTGCCAGGAACAAGATCAGAACTCCTTTTCCCTCTTTTTTTTTTTTTTTTTTTTTTTTTTTTGTGAGAGTCTGGCTCTGTCTCATAGGCTACAGACAATGCAATGCAGTGGGGTGACCTCAGCTCATGGCAGCATCCACTTCCCAGGTTCAGACAAGTCTCCTGCTCACCCTCTGGAGTAGCTGGGACTACAGGTGCATGCTGCCATGCCTGGCTAATTTTTTTGTATTAGTAGAGATGGAGTGTCACCATGGCCAGGCTAGTCTCCAACTCCTGACCTCAGGTGATCCACCTGCCCCAGCCTCCCAAAGTGCTGGGATTACAGGCGTGAGCCACCACGTCCGGCCCCTTTTTGTTCTCTCTGGGCCCCCAGGTGATTGATGGTATCCGTCCATATGGAGGGTCTTCCCTTCAGGACCTGGACCCCCAGGCAGGCTTCTCTGGAGACCCCCTCGCAGACACACCCAGAAGCAGCGCTTTATGAGGTCTCTAGGGGTCCCTTCATCCAGCCAAGTAGGTGCTTGAGATGACCCACGGCGGGTCGGACATCTCCCTCCTCATCCGCTATGACAGTGTCTGATTTGCAGTCTTTCCCTCCGGCATGAGCCGGTCCAGAGAATTGTCACAAGACAAAATGATGAATTTAGTTTAAAGATCCTCTGGCTTCATTCGTGATGCTCGATTCGGGCAACGCTGGGCTCTGCAAAGAGCAGGGAGTGCTCCGGGGGTCTGAGGAGAGGAGGTTGGTTTTCTAGACGGAAGGGCCGAGGAAAGCAGAGACAGAAAACACGGATCGCTCCCTTCAAAACTGCTTTTCTTGTAAGGGTGAAAGCGGAGAACTCCTTAATGTACCAACCAGGACCGGCCTGTTTGGGGATTTGGCTGTTATTACTCCCCTGATTTCTCAGAAGTTCAGATAAACAACTTAGCTTCAGTTTGGTGACATCGAACTTTTTTTTAGATGAAGTCTCGCTCTGTGGGCCAGGCTGGAGTGCAGCGGCATGATCTCGGCTCACTGCAAACTCCGTGTCTCTGGGTTCAAGCGATTCTTCCTGCCTGAGCCTCCCAAGTGTCTGAGATTACAAGCACGTGCCACCACGCCTGGCTAATTTTTGTGTTTTTGGTAGAGACAAGGTTTTGCCATATTGGCCAGGTTGGTCTCGAATTCCTGACCTCAAGTGATCCTCCTGCCTTGGCCTCCCAAAGTGCTGGGATTATAGGTGTGAGCCACCGTGCCCGGCCACCAAGGGCTTCCTATAGATTTCATTTAACAGAAGGAAGGGAGGGGAGAGGGAGGCTGTGGTAGAGGCTGGGGGATTTGAGGAGAGGCTGTAGAGGTTGCTGTGCGGGAGGAACGGGTCCCCTCCGGTTCCCTGACGAGTGCTGGGAGATGTAGTGAGGTCTTCCTCACGTGATTTTCTAGGAAAATGTCGCCCACATCTGGACCCCATGGTACCTGGGCTTTGAGGGTTAGCAGAGCCTTTCATGATGTCACAGATGGATCCTGCAGAGGTCTCAGTAGAGATGGTGTAGCGGGGAGGGTGTAGGACAGGTCTGGGTGACTTGGGACATGGAGCCAACAGGATAGGGTGTCCCTGGCTGCTTCTCCCCAACAGGCCACATCAGGATGTCCCAGGGAAGTAACACAAACCCGAACTGTGTGTGCCCCTTCGATCCGGAACCTCTGGTCTCTGGAGCAGGCTCGGATCTATGGAGGGTTTTTCTTTGGAGCTTCCCTGGGACGTCCAGTGCGCTCTGGGCCGCACCAGGCTGCTCTCCGCCCAAAAGGAGACTCCCACACTGAGGAGCCAGTGGCCAGAGGACTGCCCTGCGGGGAGGCAGACCTGGTTCTCAGGACACTTGATGTGGGCAGGGACTGGCTGGCCTCTCCCTCAGCGGGGAGGAGGTGCGGTGTGGAGGGACGGCTGTCCACGTGGCTGTGTTTGACTTGGGCTCCTGGCTGGCTCTGCCACTTCTTAGGTGGGTGGCAGGGGTGAGTGGCCCGACTTCTCTGAGGTCTGCTTGTCAGAGGACGGGGAGGACGATGCTGCCCAGGGCTGTCGGGAGGGTAGGCTGAGACACTGCGTAAAGTGTTTGCGCAGTACCTGCCAGGGGCAAGGTGGGCATCATTAAAAATAATACAGGCTGGCGGTGGTGGTTCATGCCTATAATCCCAGCACTTTGGGAGGCTGAGAAGGGAGGATTGCTTGAGCTCAGGAGTTCAAGGCCTGCCTGGGCAACATAGCAAAACCCCATCTCTCAAAAAAAGAAAAATTAGCTGGGCATGGTGGCTCACACCTATCGTCTGGGCTACTCAGGAGGCTGAGGCAGGAGGATCACCTGAGCCCAGGAGTTTGAGGCTACGGTGAGCTGATTCCAGCCTGGGCCACAGAGCGAGGCCTTCTCTCTAAACAAACCAAAACACGCCGGGCGCGGTGGCTCAAGCCTGTAATCCCAGCACTTTGGGAGGCCGAGACGGGCGGATCACGAGGTCAGGAGATCGAGACCATCCTGGGTACACAGTGAAACCCCGTCTCTACTAAAAAATACAAAAACTTAGCCGGGCGAGGTGGCGGGCGCCTGTAGTCCCAGCTACTCGGGAGGCTGAGGCAGGAGAATGGCGTAAACCCGGGAGGCGGAGCTTGCAGTGAGCTGAGATCCGGCCACTGCACTCCAGCCTGGGCGACAGAGCGAGACTCCGTCTCAAAAAAAACCAAAAAAAACAACAAACCAAAACACATGAATCCTGGCGTATGCAAAGCTCTTAGTCATAGGTGAACTTAAATGGAAACTGTTAATTGAAATCAGGGCTTTGGCTGGGCGCCATGGCTCACGCCTGTAATCCTAGCACTCTGGGAGACTGAGGTGGGTGGATTGCTCGAGTCCAGGAGTTTGAGACCAGCCCAGGCAACATGACAAAACTCTGTCTCTACCAAAAATGCAAAAATTAGCCAGTCTCATAACCTGGTCTCAAAAAAAAAAAAAAATTTAAAAAAGTTAAAAAAAAAAATTGGAGGTTATATGGTTCTGGATGGGGTTTTTTTCTGTTGCCTAGAAATCGTATCTAAGGCTTAAAGGTGAAAATAGAAAGTACCAAGTACTCCCATGATTGAGGGTGGGACATAGCCTCAGAACGCTGGGGTCTGATACCTGCCTAGTCCTATGCGAGAGGCTGAGAGAGGCTGGCACTGGCGAGACTCAGTGGCTGGTGGGGGCTCAAGCTCTGTGGTGAGAATTCTTACTATGGTCTTCAGTTGCCCCTAGAGATGCCTGCAATGGTGTGGGCTGAGTCCCACTCCCCAGATGGGGAGGTGGAGGACTGCGGAGAGCCTCTGCACCCACAAGAGCAGGACAAGAAAACTGGAATGAGCGGGCAGGGCTGGGGGTGGAGGCACCCTGCACCTCAGGAGCAGGCGGCCAGGCTGCTAGTCTGAGAAGAGACCATGGTCTTGCTGCTCCCAGGCGTGGGGTGTAAACAACTCAGACTTGAGACACTCTTGTGAAGACCCAGTTCAAGGCTAGAGCACATCATGGGGTTGGTCAGAGACAATCCTCAAAATCCTCTGCCTGGAACCACGGATGCCTACTCCATCAGGGCAGGTGCAGGAAAGAACAACCGAATAGATTCCAACATCGGAGGACGTGCAGGCCGCACACATGTGGTCAGCCCAGAGAGTAGCATATTGGGGATTTGCAGCCAAGAATAACATGAAGGGGGCCTTGAAAGAGCTATGTTTACAGTTCCCAAGGAGATAAATGAGGGAAGAGCAACAGAGAAACAAGAATAGGCAGACATGCAAAAAGAACAAGGAGCCACCTTCACATGAAAAACATAATTGTGGCCGGGCGCGGTGGCTCACACCTGTAATCCCAGCACTCTGGGAGGCCGAGGTGGGCAGATCACCTGAGGTTGGGAGTTTGAGACCAGCCTGACAAACCCCGTCTCTACTAAAAATACAAAATTAGCCAGGCGAGGTGGTGGTGGCGCCTGTAGTCCCAGCTACTCGGGAGGCTGAGGCAGGAGAATGGCATGAACCTGGGAGGCGGAGCTTGCAGTGAGCCGAGATCACGTCACTGCACTCCAGCCTGGGCGGCAGAGCGAGACTCCGTCTCAAAAACAAAAAATCAAATAAATAACATAATGTAACATAACATAACATAACATAACATAACATAACATAACATAACATAACTGTATAAGTAAAACCTCACCGATGAGTTGAATGACAGATGAGTCCCTGCTCTGGAGTGAAGGAATAAGCCTTGACAGAACTAGGGAGATTCCCCCACACAGGGAGAAACAGTCGCTCACTGGGTCAGGTAGGGGCTTGTCCAGGTTGATTTGTTTGCTTTTCTGTGCGTAAACATTTGGCTTCGTAAGATATAGAATAAAACCATGTCATTTTTCATCCTACTAAAAACCAGTCTACCAAAAAATACCACAGTGAACCTTTTCATACGTATAACTTTATATACGTGTGTGTGTATATATATATATACGTATATAGGTATGTATGTGTATTATGTGTATGTGTATATATACTCATACATATATGTGTGTGTATATATAAGTCGTATGTATACATATATGTATGTAGAGAGAGAGAATGAGGAGAGAGAGAGACTTTCAGATTATTTCTTTCAGCTAACTTCCCCAGAGTGGAATCCCTTGGTCTAGTAAATTCTCTGTGCTCCAGTTGAAGTTTGGCAAATGACTTCTGGGGGTCTGGACCGTTCCAGCAGAAGCGTCTGCGAGTGAAGAGGGCTGTGGACCCTGTTGTTAGGAGACAGAGCCAGGGCGAGGTTCCCACTCAGGTCTCCCCATCTCCTGTGGCCTCTTTTCAAAGCAGTGGATACTTTTCTTCCCTCCAAAGAGACCGTTCTAGAAGCCTAATGGCAGTGCTGGCGACACGATTGTTTTTCACGTGAATCTGCAGGTCTGTCTTGGGACTGGACATCCGGCACTGGTGGGCGTGGGAATGACAGGCTGGACCCACAGGTGGAAATCGGCAAAGCTCGTCTTCCAGAGGCACTCGGTCAAAGAGTTCCGACAGTGACTTCGCCGGTGGCTGGGACTCCGGACCCTGATGAGCTGCGGTGTCACCACAGGTTTGCAGGCAAGGAGGCCTTTGCTTGAGCAGCTTGCAAACAACCTCCCCACGGGAGCGGGCAGCCTCTGTGTGACGGGCACCTGGGGGCCTGCTGAGCCTGAACCTGGGGACCAGCTGGCAGAGGCAGGCAGAGGACAGAGGCTCCGCCCCTGCCCAGCGCTCAGGCGAGCTGTGGAAGGTTCCCTCGCACCTCTACAGGTGGGTGTGGAGGAGCAGCAGGCAGGCAGCACGGGTCCCACGTGCTGGAGGAGCAGCTAAGCGGGAAGCCACGGCAGCAGGGCCCAGCCTCTTCGAGCTGGGGGTCCAGTGCTGCCTGCCCGTCTGTGAGGCGAGCACAGAGGACCCCCAGGTTGCTGTGGGTGGGCAGGGTTGGGCACCACAGAGGGCAGCTGGGAGGAGTGGGGCTGAGAGCTCAGGCAGTGCTTCTCAGTGCAGCCGTGGCTGGGGACCTCAAGGACCGCGTGGGAGCCCCTGGGGTCTGTGAGGCTGGCAGGAGACGAGGAGAGGCCAAGACCCCCAGGGAGCGCCCAGGCCTGAACCCCTCCAGTGCTGCTGACCTTGCAGCTGCTGCCACGCCACGGGCGGTGACCACACAGACGTCCCCTCTGCCATTGCTGCGGGACTGGGAAGGATGCCGGGCGGATACAGCCTCCCCCTCCAGTGCCCCGAACTCCCTGGGTCCACCCCGGCTCCCATGGTGGGGAGGGGCCGCCTTGGAGCCCCCATGGGACAGGGTGGAGGTGGGGTAAGTGCCTGGAGCTCTCGGCCATCATGTGCGAATGTTTTGCTCCCTGCTGATTCCATCCTCGCACCGTCCTGTCTGTATTGTGGACTGGGCAGCTGTCACGGGGGGCAGTTCTGTCCCCAGGGGACGCTGGCCAGCAAGTGGAGACGTCTGTGGTCTTGGCTGGTGTTGCCGCAGGCATCTGGCTGGTGGAGCCCAGGGAGGCTGTCCCGGCCCCTGCAACCCGCAGGACAGTCCCGCCGTGGAGGACGGCCAGCCCTGAGTCCCCATTGCCCCAGGGCCCGGGATACCCCTGCCTGCCCTGGGCAGATCCCCGGGGCCAGGCGGTTCAGGCCGTGCTCCTGCCTGCTGGGGTCTCCTGCCGTCCTCGCCATCACCACTGGGTGGAGCCACAGGTCCGTGTGATCGTCCCTGTGATGCCGGGTTCCGGAAGGATCCTCACCCAAAGCTGGCCCAGCCCGGCTCCTGAACTCTGGTCTCAGGACCCTTCGCAATCCTGAAACCTTTTGAGCTTTTGTTTACGTGCGCGGCCGCTGAGGACATTCACTCTACTAGAAATAGAGCTTTTAAAAATGTTCACTTTTTCACGTAAAAATAGCAATAAATCCATTGCATGGGAACATAACATTTTAATGAAAAACAACTGTTTCCCCGTAAAAAAAAAATGTGGTGGGAAGAGAAAGGAGGGGTGGCTGTTTGTGCTGGATTCTTATGTCTGCATCTGCCTGCAGGCCTGTGGCCTCCAGAACATTCCGCCCCACGCTTTCAGGAGAATGGGAAGGAGGCCAGGCACGGTGGCTCACGCCTGTAATCCCAGCACTTTGGGAGGCCGAGGCAGGCGGATCACCTCAGGTCAGGAGTTCGAGACCAGGCTGGGCAACATGGTGAAACCCCGTCTCTACTAAAATGCAAAAAATTAGGCATGGTGGCGGGCGCCTGTAATCCCAGCTACTCTGGAGGCTGAGGCACGAGAATCGCTTGAGTCCGGGAGGTGGAGTTTGCATTGAGCCAAGACTGTGCCATTGCACTCCAGCCTGGGCAACAGAGCGAGAGACAGTCTCAAAAGAATGGGAAGGAAACCACTCTCAGAAGTGTCATGAGAACAGGTTTGACCTCGGGGACCCCCGAAGGTTTCTGGATCCCCTTTGAGAAGCATGGTCTGGACACAGCCGTCAGATGCCTGTTGTGGGGTCGGATGCCTGTTGTGGGGTCTTTACCAACCTTGCTTTGCTGCATTCATTCATTCAGAGACGGAGTCTCGCTCTGTCACCAGACTGGAGTGCAGTGGTACGATCTTGGCTCACTGCAACCTCCACCTCCTGGGGTTCAAGCGATTCTCCTGCCTCAGCCTCCCAAGTAGCTGGGATGACAGATGCCCGCCACCACGCCCGGCTAATTTTTTGTATCTTTATTAGAGATGGGTTTTCACCATGTTGGCCAGGCTGGTCTTAAACTCCTGACCTCAAGTGATCCACCTGCCTTGGCCTCCCGAAGTGCTGGGATTACAGGTGTGAGGTGCTGTGCCTGGCCCTGCTTTGCTGCTTTTAAATCTTTTTGTTGAAAACGAGGATCAGACATATGTTATTACAGTTTTCAGAGTGGAAACCAGCTTGAGAAAATCCTATTTATAAGCACAGTCACTCTGGGAGGCGAGACTCCTTAGTCCAGAGTCACTGAGGTCTGGATTGTTGGAGAATTATTCACAGAAACCCCAGAAGCAGCTGAGGAGACGTGGGGCTGAGACGGGGGCCTGCGCGCGCAGCCAGGCTGTGCAGAAACTCGGAGTGTAGCACGTGGGCCGCCGGGGCTCAGCCAGGCCCATCTCTTCCCTTTTGGCGTCTCTGGAAATGCCGGGCTGATGTAATTATGGGTGACTCCCGCGACCCTAAAAAGTTTTTTTTTGAGACAGAGTCTTGCTCTGTCACCCAGGCTGGAGTGCAGTGGTATGATCTTGGCTCACTGCAACCTCTGCCTCCTGGGTTCAAGCAATTCTTCTGCCTCAGCCTCCCGAGTAGCTGGGACTACAGGCGCGTGCCACCATGCCCGGCTAATTTTTGTATTTTTAGTAGAGATGGGGTTTCTCCATGTTGGCCAGGCTGGTCTCGAACTTCTGACCTCAAGTGATCCGTCTGCCTCGGCCTCCCAAAGTGCTGGGATTACAGGTGTGAGCCACTGCGCCCAGCCAAAAAATATATTGTTTTGAGACAGGGCCTCCCTTAGTCACCCAGGCTGGAGTGCATTGGTGCGATCCTAGCTCACTTCAGCCTTGACCTCTCCTGGGCTCTAGTGATCCTCCTGCCCCAGTCTCCTGAGACCACAGGTGGGTACCACCATGCCTGGCTAATGTTTAAAAGTTTTTAATTTTTTTTGATAGAGACGAGGTCTCACTGTGTTGCCTAGGGTGGTCTCAAACTTCTGGTCTCAAATGATCCTCCTGCCTTGGCCTCCCAAAGTGCTGGGATGACAGGAATCTTAGTACTTTAAGCAAATAACAGGTTTTCTTTTGGGCAGCTGTGGGTTTCCAGAAATACCAACGAGAGAGTGCCGAGCCCCCGTCTGTGCCCTCCCTCCCTGCAGGGTCCCGTGGAGGTAACGCCCCACACCGGCACGAACCAGAATGGACACGGTTCACCGGAGTCCTTGGCCTTCACTAAGGGGCCTTTCCCCATCCCGGGACGGTTCCCGTCCAGCTGCCTGAGCTCCCACTGGGCTGTGGCCATTGCTCGGACTTCCCTTAGTTCTGGTGGTCTGGGCAGTTTTGAGGAGGGAGGTCAGGATTTCCTAGAAGGTCCCTCAAGCAGGGCTTGCCATGCATTTCTTGAGGCTAGAAGGGACCCGTCGCCTTCCCTGTAGACACCCATGTCCCTCCCCTGGCACTGGGAGGAGGTGGGGGGAACCCAGAGAAGAGGTCACGTAGGGTCAGGCCTGGAAGCCAACAAGGAACAGGGCCGGGGAGGCCTGGTGCCTTTTGGGGGGTGCGGGGGTCCCAGGACAGAGCTGAGCACCAGGAGGGGTGCAGAAGGCCGCCCCCTCCACACCTGCTGTTCCCCATTTGTTGTGGGTGGGGGAAGGGGTGGGAACACCTGGGCAGCCCCCTCCCCCGGCCTGGGATGACCTGCTGTCCGCAGGGGCAGAGGCTCTGCTTTCCATGGGGGGCTCTGGGTCTCTGGTGGCTGGACTCAGCCGAGGGTCCAGGTGTCCTCTTGGCCTCTCTGCACAGGCCTCAGCCTCCATCAGGCACCCCCTGCCCCGCAGCCGGCCTCGTCCCCTATAGCAGGGCTTACCCTCCAGGCGATCTCACGGGAATGCACGTTCAGGTCTCCTTTGCCTGGAACCTGCTCCGGCTTTGCTGAAGGCTGCTTCTTGGTGACTGGGGGCTCCTCCGGGCCATTCCTTAGATCCCTTGAGGCTATTCGGGGCCATCCCCAGCCTCAGGCGGCTGCGTTACAGCTCAGGGAGCCCGGGGATGGAGGACCCGGTTCTGCTGCTGGAGACTCAGAGTCACCTGGCAAGATGGAATGAGAGGGGGAGGGTGGCCGGCACTGGGGCTCTGTCTACTGCCTCGCGCCTTGGAGGATGCTCCGGCCAAGGCCGGGAGGGGCGGGCGTGGCTGCAGGTGTACTGTGGTGGGGGAGGGTGAGGATCCGACCAGGAGGCGAGGAGGAGGCGCTGGCAAGACGCAACGCTTTGGCTTCACTGTTGGCTGTCCCCTTGCTGCCCACCGTCGCCCGCCAGGCCCACACCTCCCTGCTCCTGGCGACAGATGGTGTGTGAAAAGCCTGTTTCCTCCCCTAGAAAAAGCACATTTGGTTCCGTTCTCCACTGACACATCTTCAACTGAGTGACGATGGAGGCTCCTGGCTTTTAACAGACGTTCTTAACGAGCCTCCGCTCCCTGCCGACCAGCAGACGCGGGCTGACCGGCGGTTTTACACACCCCATCTGCATGGCGGCGGCCGGGCGGCCCCGCGCGGCCCAGGCAGGAGATGACGGCAGCGTTTCTCATCCCCTCTCTCCTGTCGACTTGCAGATTCCTGCAGACCCTCGGCCTGTCTGCGGCCCCTCGCCCGCGGCCTCCCTGGCGAGGTTTCCTCCAGCATTAAAAGAACTGGCCGTGTTCCCCAGGAGCTGAACTTCTGTGGCTTCATCATCAGAAACACAAATGTTGAGTCGGCTCCTCGGGGCGCTCTAGCTGCGGGTGAATGACATGAGCCAGACCTCCCCGTTTTTTGTTTTATTTTGGTCTTTTTGAGACCGTTTTACTCTTTTATCCCAAACTGGAGTGCAGTGGCGCAATCTCGGCTCACTGCAACCTCTGCCTCTGGGTTCAAGCGATTCTCCTGCCTCAGCCTCCCGAGTTGCTGGGATTACAGGCGCCCACCCCACACCCGGCTCGTTTTATATTTTAAGTGGAGATGGGGTTTCACCGTGTTGTCCAGGCTAGTCTCAAACTCCTGAGCTCATGCCCTCCTTGGCCTCCCAAAGTGCTAGGATTACAGGTGTGAGCTACTGCCCCCGGCCCGAGATCTTCCCTTTTTTTTTTTTTTTTTTTTTTTTTTTTTTTGAGATGGAGTCTCGCTCTGTCGCCCAGGCTGGAGTGCAGTGGCCCAATCTCGGCTCACTGCAAGCTCCGCCTCCTGGGTTTACACCATTCTCCTGCCTCAGCCTCCCGAGCAGCTGGGACTACAGGTGCCCGCCACCATGCCCGGCTACTTTTTTTTTTTTGTATTTTTTAGTAGAGATGGGGTTTCACCATGTTAGCCAGGATGGTCTCGATCTCCTGACCTCATCATCCACCTGCCTCGGCTTCTCAAAGTGCTGGGATTACAGGCGTGAGCCACCGTGCTTGGCCGACCTTCCCATTTTAACACCCACTTGCCCCCTCCTGCCCCCACAGGGCCTGGGGGAGCCTTCACTGTGCAGGACACGGGCCAAAGCAGAAGGAGGCAGGAGGAAGGAAGCAAGGCCACCCCTGCTGACTGTGCACCCACAAGCCTGCCGTGCCTGAATGTTGGTTCACCTAGAGTCAGGGGCTCAGGGACAGGACTAATTTTGGAACCAGACTGCCAGGGTTCACACTCTGGTGGTGGTATCTTCTGCCTACGTGGTTTTAACCTCTCTGTGCTCTGGTTTCATCACTTGTGAATTGGGGCTAATGGTTCCTACCTAACAGGTGTGAGGATTAGATAAATGGATACATGGAGAGGGCTAGTGGTCAGTGCCATGTGTCAACCAAGGATGATGGTGATGATGGTGGTGAAGACTGTAGTGATGGTGACAATGGTGAGGACTATAGTGATGGTGATGATGGTGAAGACTATCGTGATGGTGATGATGGTGAAGACTATCGTGATGGTGACGATGGTGAGGACTGTAGTGATGGTGATGATGGTGAGGACTATAGTGATGGTGATGATGGTGGTGAAGACTGTAGTGATGGTGACAATGGTGAGGACTATAGTGATGGTGATGATGGTGAAGACTATCGTGATGGTGATGATGGTGAACTGTAGCGATGGTGACGATGAAGACTATCGTGATGGTGACGATGGTGAGGACTGTAGTGATGGTGATGATGGTGAGGACTATAGTGATGGTGATGATGGTGGTGAAGACTGTAGTGATGG